CGGGCATATCAGATACAGTCCAATGGACACTCTGTCTGTGGTTTTGAGGATATTGAGGGAATGGGTGGTGGATAGATGGGTGGAATGTATACTATATTGATCAAGGAAATACTAGACGTAAATGAAATATCTGAATACATCATACTGCTATCTTAACATCTCCGACTCATACCAGCACATCCCTTTACACCACCCCCCGATCCCCCAAACCAACACCTCCAACCCTCCTCACCTTGCTCACACTCTCCACCGTTCTCTCACTAACAACCCTCCTCTTAACCTGCCTTCCCACCACCGCCGCCTTGCTCGCCCTACTCTTCCTCACACCTTCACCCCTCCCCCCATCACTCTCACTCCCACTCGCACTCCCGACCTTCGCAGCCCCATCAGATCTCAGCGTCTTGTCCCAGGGGGAAAATTCCTCAGAGCCCACGGATCTCCGGCGCTTGCCGTCGGGGGTGTAGTATTCCGAGCCGAGGCTGCGTTTGCGCTTGATGCTGTGTTTGGGTGCGGGTTTGGGTGCAGAGGATGTGGGTACGGGGATTGGTGTGCGGGCCAAGGGCTTGCTAGTTGTAGAAGGGGTGGTCTTGTGGAGACGGCTGTGAGTAGGTGTAACGGGTTTCTTTTCCAGAACCGAAGTTGCAACCCTAGGGGATGGAACGCCTACTTTAGGAGAAACGACACGATCTCCTCTCTTAAGCGAAGAAGTCACGGGTTTAGAAGACAGCGTAGATGTCTTCGGCGTACTCTTTTCTCGCTTCGGACCGGGTGTTGCAGGCCGGGGCGGGGATTTACCGTCAGAAGGACTCTCTGGGGTACGCAGTGCAGTTTGCAATAGACTCTCGCGTCGGGGGCTGTGACAGAGAGCTTGCTTGCGAGAGTCTGAGAATTTCCGCATTGCTGCTCCTGCGCGTGTTGTTTGGCCGGCTGGCGTGGGGTTTTTTGGTTGCGAGGATTCATGGCTGGGAGAGGAGATTTGGACGATGGGTTTCGTGTTTGATTTCCTAGCCTCAATGGCGGTCTTAAGAGTGGCAGCTTTGGTTGCAGCGGTCTTGGAGCTAGTGGTCCTCGGGGTGATAGCAGCGCGTGATCTGGAGGATTTGGTAGGCGTTGTACTAAGAGCACCACGGAGTGCTGTTGGGAGATCAGGCTCTGGGCTCACTGTTCGCACTTAGTTGAGTGTAGTTCATGTGATCGGACAGGACACTGACCTTGCTTTCCTGTCGAGAATCGGCCCAAGAATGCGTGTGGGGCATATCCTGATACTTCAGCATCTGTTTGAATATCCTCATTGAAATCCTTGACAGTCTTGGCCAAAAGCTCTTCGGTCGCGAGCCTGCGAATCCTATCATAATCCTCCTGCCTCCCGTGCGGGAGCTTGAACCTCGATCCAGACTCGTAATGAGGCAAGTTTTTGTACTTCGCCAAGGCGGGGTGGTTGAAAGGAATGTTGGTCTCGACAACTTTGCCTTCAGCCTTGAGTTTCTTTCCGTAGTCAGAAATATCAAAGTTGATTTTTAAAGTCTCCCAGGCCTCCATTTGGTGGGTTTCTGGGAAGGGAAGACAGGCTGGCATATCTCTGTACCATCTCTCGGGCGCACTGTTAGGTCCACTGTGTTCGTAGCTTCGCTCGAAATCTACATTATCTTGCGAGTCATGGGAGCGTGGGCCGAGGGGCGTGACAGCTTGCGACGCAGAAACTTGCTCAGTTTGTTGTTGTTGAAGCTTAGTATACGACTTAGCCTGCTCACGAGGCAGAGACTTCATAGAAGTTGTGGGACGTTTTCGGGTATACCTCGTTGATGGCTCTGGCAGGTCTTCTTCTTCCCTGTAAAGAGCCTCCGAAACGGACGGCGTGTACGGCGTGTAGTATGCCGCATCGAGTTCAGCGTTTCTGGTTTGTAGATTGATTTCCTCTTTGGCATTGTCATACTCTTCGTGTACTTCGTCCACCATGGCGCGGACCGTTCGGTACAGCTGGCGATCATAGTCACTGCCAGTCTGAGGCAGGAGCTGCACAAGAGCCTCGTCGATGCGGTAGACACGGCTCATGTAGGTGGCAGGCGAATCTTGCCCACCTTCTTCGGCCAGGTAGTTGATGGCTTCTCTCAGACGGCGGTTGTAGTAGTCCCGTTGCGTGTTGTCTGCCTCGCCGATTGCGTAGATTTCCTCGGCGTCAGAGAGGTCAGTGAGATCCATCGCATCATCAGCGTGATGGTGATGGTATCTAGATGACATGCTTGCGTTTTCGTCACAGTCCTACTTTTCCAACGCAAACCGATTTCTTTCATCTATTAGCAGCTTCCTGCGTGCACGACCGTTTCACACATACCAAGCAATCCTCTCTGAATCAAAACGTCTTGCTGGAATTGACAGGAATTGAAGCGGAGGATAGATCCGTCAAGACATTTCACAGCTTCTTGAGCAAAGCCAGATGTCTTTGTTCCAGGTCAAAACAAAGGTGGGTGGAACTCAGCAGTTGCGGTTCTTGCCGCATGCGGCCATTCCCTGGGATGTGTTTGGCCATTGTTGTTAAACACGCCTTTCCTTTGTGCGCGTCGAGGGCATGGTAGGCGTTGATGGTGCAGCCATGGCGGCTTGAATGGTTGGGTGTTCTTGTGATGCTGTGCAAGGTTTTGGTGCAAGGGGGATTGCCTTGCTCAAGACTGGGGAAGACAATCGCAAAACAATTGAGAATGGAAAGACAGTGAGGAGCTTCAAAATGTAGAGGACATGGAAGGTAATGTGTGCTTGATAGAGAGATGGTTTGGAACGAAATGCGATGTCTTGTACAGGTTTGGATGGAATGTAATATGATGCCAGCCATGCTGATCACGAATGCTAGAGGTACCGGTAGTTCTCCTTACTTTCGCTCCACGTAAATAGTTTCAATAGAGGTGCGAAGCAAGGCCGTCGTCGATGACCATGCTTATGAATACTGTCTACCGGTACCTACGGTACTTGGGTTAGTCGTCCCGTTCAGGACCTTTCCATGTTTTACGTGGCCATCTATCTAATTTCGACGAGTTGCTCGCAGGGGTGAAGAATTGGGGATTTGAACATAGGGGTCGAGTATCAGCCCAGCGCTATCTAACTGAGGGATACTATCATAGCGCAGATGTGGAGGAGGCGTCGTCGTCGTCGTCGTCGTCGTCGAGTGTGGTTCAGCTGGGGAGATCCCCACTGGTATACCGGTAGTACTAGTTATCTCGACTGGTTTGAGGATCACGTTACTTGTCTTGTGCTGTGAAAATAGCCAGGATGTGGCAGTGGCAGATCACATGATACTCAAACCACCCGAGCGCATGAGCTTAAGGCACCGGTAGCGTGTCCAAGATGCCTCGGCTCCACAACATCCATCGTTTGATGTCACGGCGCTGGACAGTGGACGGTTGGAGCATGAACCCAAGCTCCAGCCCTCTTTGCACAGACTGGAAGCGTCAAAATCATCTCTTCGTGTCTTGCAATGTATTGAGCATTTGCGTCATCTTACTGTTCATTGGCCCATCTTGATTACATGCCGTGATTCCCGTCTGTGCCTCTCACGCTCTGTTTGGACTTCGATCATGTCTCGTAAGCACAATAACAATCTACCAGATTACCCCAACATTCACCCGGCCAATCATTGACAACCATATCTGCCTGTAGTCCTCGCCCTTCCTGCTGCAGCCGCAGGTCTTGCATACCTCAACGCCCGCCACGGCCTGACCTACGACTTCCAGCTCCTCTCCGCCTTCATTCGCGGCACCCTCAGCAGCGCTTTGCACGAACGTTCCGACACCCTAAACCTCTTCTACCAGCTCGAAGCGCACGCCAAATCTTCCCGCGCTCACCACCCGTTCATCATCTTCCATGGCCAAACATGGACGTATGCCCAGGCCTACGAGACGGTGCTCAAGTACGCGACGTGGTTGACGGCCAAGGGTGTGGCCAAAGATGACATCGTCGCCATGGACTTTTTAAACAGCGAGGTTTTTGTGTGGGTGTGGTTTGCGCTGTGGAGTATTGGGGCGAAACCGGCGTTTGTGAATACGAATCTGAAGGGGAAGGCCTTGGTTCATACGGTCAAGACTAGTACGGCGAGATTGGTGTTGGTAGACGAGAAGGGCAGAGACAAGTATGAGGAGGAGGTGTTGAAAGAGCATGGCTTTGTTCGTGAGGAAGATTCACGGGCAGACAAGATCATGTACACCTTCAACATGGAGGAAAGTGACATCCCAAAGTCTGTCAGGAACCAGACCACAACACCACAAGCAGCCATCGAAGCTGGCGCCGTCTCCGAATCTCGATCCCCCCAACGCCAGCTCGAAGTGGTATGCTTCGATAAAACATTGACTGCTATGATACTCGCTCTGGCCCCAACCCGCCTCCCAGACTCCTCTCGCTCACAGCAAACCCGCACAAGCATGGCCATGCTCATATACACCTCTGGCACCACCGGCCTCCCCAAACCCGCCATCATGTCCTGGGGCAAAGCCACCGCGGGCTCGCACGGCGTAGCCCTGTGGCTCAATCTGAAAACCGAAGTCATATACACCTCCATGCCCCTCTACCACAGCTCCGCCTCAATCCTAGGCGTATGTGCCGTCCTCCGCGCCGGCGGCACCCTCAGCCTCTCCCAGAAATTTTCCCACAAGACATTCTGGCCCGAAATCCGCGCCAGCAACGCAACCATTCTCCACTACGTCGGCGAAACATGCCGCTACCTGCTCTCCGCGCCCCCCTCCCCCTTGGACACGCAGCACAAAGTCCACTCTGCCTTTGGCAACGGGCTCCGCCCAGACGTCTGGGACCGCTTCAAGTCCCGCTTTGGCATCACCTCAATCTACGAATTCTACGCTGCCACAGAAGCACCGGGCGGCTTGTTCAATTACTCAGCAAACACCTTTTCCAGCGGCGCCATTGGCCGCACCGGCACCCTCGCCTCCCTCCTGCTAAACAGAACCCTCGCCCTCGTCCGCATCGACACCACAACCTCCCCACCTACCCTCCTCCGCTCCCCCAAAACCTCCCTCTGCGAACCCTGCCCTCCCAACGAACCAGGCGAACTCCTCTACGCCCTCGACCCACACAACACGCGCGACAAGTTCCAGGGCTACTTCAACAACACCTCGGCCACGGACTCGAAAATCGCGCGCAACGTCTTCAAGCACGGTGATGCGTACTTTCGGTCCGGAGACCTGGTACGCCGCGACAGCCAGGGCCGCTGGTGGTTTGTCGATCGGCTGGGGGATACATTTCGGTGGAAGGCGGAGAATGTGAGTACGGCGGAAGTTGGGGAGGCGTTGGGGCGGCATGGCGCCGTTGTCGAGGCGAATGTGTATGGTGTTGTTGTGCCGGGACATGATGGCCGGGCTGGTTGTGCGGCGGTCGTGTTGGGCGAGGAGTTTGTCACGACTACGACTACTACTTCTGACTTCAAGTCTATGTCTTCATCCTCCCTTTCCAATTCATCTCATACATCTAATCACAACCACCAACCCCTTCCTCTTCCCACACCCCAAACTCTTTCCTCCCTGGCCTCACACCTCTCCACTCATCTCCCGCCCTTTGCCCGCCCCCTCTTCCTTCGTGTAACCCGCAACATGGCCGCCACAGGCACAATGAAGCAGCAAAAGACCGACTTGCAGAATCAGGGCATCGACGTTGCCGCGGTGGAACAGGCAGGAGATGTCTTGTATTGGTGGAGGGGCGACACGTATGTGCGGTTTGGGGTGGAGGATTTGAAGGCGATTGAGGGAGGTAGGGTGAGGCTTTAGGCTGGGATGGAGGGGGGGAAAGAGTGGGTGGTGCATATAGATATATATATGCCAGAGAGGCAGTCTGAATTGATCAATTGGTATGTGGTTCTATTTCTTACAAGACTTCCTAGTCTTCTTCTTCCTCGGGACTTGATACTCGTCGTCTTGGTCATCGTCTGGGGTGTCGAAATCGTCTTCGGCGAGCGAAGTCTGTGTTTGACCGACTTTTCTCTTTGTGGGCACTGCATCCACAGTTGCAGTCTCAATATCATCAACACCTTTTTCTGCTTCCTGCTCCTCGCTCTCCCCCCGTCCATCCACTGCACTCCTTGCCCCCTCCCTCTCCGCCAACCTCTCCAACGCAGCCCCTAGCCTCTTCCCAGACGCCCCCTTCCCCCTCGTCCTCCCCCCCACCGCACTCTCCGCTGCCTGTCCCCGAACCCTAGGCGCAAATTGCACCAGCCCCAACACCACCCTCAAAGAACCTCGTGATATTCGCCTGCGTACCCTCCTTCTCTCTGCGATTCATATCGCGAATCACAGGGACAAGCACCTCATCAGTGCGTTCCCAGGACCAGCCAATCTGGCTCTGCAAAAAAGCCCTCAGGGCCGCGAGGTCCGGTACACCCCATTCAAACGGCTGCGGGTCGGAATCGACCTCGGGATGCAGATATGCGTCCGCTACCCTGGGATCGGGAAAGGTTGGGGGGAGAAAAAGCTTCGTGGCCTGATTTTTGCGGAAGCGTTTGCGAAAAGGAGAGGTAGCGTCTGCAGCCTTGGGAATAGAGCCATCTTGCACGCCCGTCCACCACTGCTTGAACTGCTCGAGGTCTGGGAATTCGGAGAGGATTTCGAGGGCGGTGACGGGGCCGATGCCCGGGATACCGGGCGTGTAGTCTGAGCCGAGGAGTTGGGCAATGGCGATGAGTTTGTCGCGTGTGAGGGAGAATTCGGAGGCGAGGTCGGAGGCGAGGTAGCATTCTACGAATTTGGCGGCGTTGAACATGTTTTTGTAGACGCGGGTGCCACCGAAGAGAAAGGTGTCCGAGTCGTCTGTTACGATGCCGTCGACGAGTCCCAGGGAAACGAGTTCGGCGCATTGTGCTTCGGCTTCCATAGGCGCGGTGATGTAGGGTAGGCCAAATAATGTGAGGAGGTGCTGGCACTCTGTTATCATGGTTTGCGTGACTTCATCTGCGTCTCTGCGGTCCTTCTTTTGTTGGGCGCGGAGCTGCTTGAGTTCTTTGTCAAAGTCGACGCTCACAGCCGTGTTGGCGTTTAACTCTTGGGCAAAGCGGGCGTGCTCTGAGGCTTCTTGGGCCAGGGAGGCGAAGAGCTCTTCGTCCTCTGGGTCGGAGTATTGATCGGAATCGTTGGCAGGGAGGTCTGGAGGAATTAAGGAGTCTGGGATGGCATCGTGGGGAACGATGGGAACGAGGAGGTCGTCTGGACCTTCCATTTTGGCAGGGGACGATTCTCGACGGGGTCGGCGGGGTCGAGCGGGTCGTATTGGAACGTCTTCGAATTCTGGTGATGGTGATTTTGACGGTTTTGATAGAGGAGCGTTTGTAATTTCCATTGACACGTCTTCATACTCTACTGACAGTGATGTCGAAGGGACGGGATGAGAAGCAGGTTCACCTTGCATGGGCACATCCTCGAACTCTTCAGATGGAGACTCTGAAGGTTCTCGGATGGGAGGAGTAGTCTTATTTGCAAGCTTCTGGTTTTTCTGTACCCTCCTCTCTTCCTCAGGCTCACTCTCTGACCAGTCCACTGCCTCATCCTCTTCTGAATCCTGTGCAAAAGGCGTTTTAGTTGCCGGGACTGGTTCCTGAGGCGGTGGCAATCTCTGGCCAGGAGACAGTGGTTTCGGGGGCTCAGCTCTTACTTTATCGGCAAGATCGCCCATGTTCAATTCTTTTTGAACCAACACATCTTCCATTGGCTCATCATCATCTTCCTCGTCATCCACTGGATTAACCTGCTGCTGACTTTGACTAGCCGGTGCATCCAGATCAATAATCTCTCTAGTTTCTTCTTTGCGCAGGCGTGGTAGTTTTTGAAATTGGAAGCGTGATTTCTCTTCTTCCTTCGCCTCCTCCCAAACCTCCTTCTCTTCCTGCCGTGTCGTTGTCAATTCTGCCGCAATGTCTCGCTCTCCTTTGAACCACGGAGGCAACGGCGCTGCTTTGTCTCTGTCTGCACCAAGGTCCCTCTCGAAACCACCGGCCGTATCGGCTTCAAGCTGCTCCATCTTCTTCTTGCCAAGCAGAGAGTTGCCGAGATTGAGTTTCTCAAATGGCAAAGGTCCGTCAAATCCTGGTGCATTCCTGGACTTTGGTGCGGGTTTAGCAGCTGGGACATGCGCCTGGGACTGAGGTTTGAGTGATGGCTGCCGTGGGTTGATAGGCCGCTTGGACTTGCGTGACTCCGCTAACGCTGCTTGGAGGTCCATGTCGTCCTCACTATCGCTCCCTTCGAATGGGCCCTTTGGCGCAGCTTTGTGACTATGCTGGTTTGCCATTTTTGCGACTGCGGCAAGCCCTTTGGGCCTGTGCTTGCCTGCAAAGGGGTTTGACTCTGTAGCACGCTTTTGCTGATATACCTCACGAACGACATCATCGTCTGCAATCTCCAATGCGTCTTGTTCCTCGCGAGTTTCTGTTTGCATTGAGAGAGCAATGGCTTGTTGTAGCTGTTCGGTCTCTATGCCATCACCTCCATCTTCGAACAAATCGTCACCACCATCGATGGGCACGTTCTCCCAATCTTGCTCCTCGTTGTCCTCAGCAAGGAAAAGTGAATCTGGGTCTTTATTCACAGGCGATGATTTCCGTTGTCTAGGGTGTGCTGCTGGGCTGTCTTTTCTGGAGTTGTAGAAGCGTCGACGCCGCGTCGCTAATTCGTTGGCAATGAACTCGCGACCCTCTCTCTCTTTTGCGCTCATACCAGGAGGTGGCTTCGGTAACCGGTTTAGTCCTTCAATCGGTACGTCTTCAAAGTCATCCTCATCTTCCCACTCTTCCTCAGGAGGGGGCTTGGGCATATCAACAACGATGGGCTTCTGCTCAGTGCCCTCGTCTTTTTGCACGACACCCAAGGCCCAGCCACCTTCGACGCCATCATTTTTGACAAGCACGTACTCCCTATCTCGCTCTCCTGCGACTCGATTAGAGGTTCCAGAACCAAACGCATTGTCATTCATGCCATTGAGGTTCATCAAGCGTTGAGTAAGATCATTTCGCTCACGCACACGTTCAATCTGGAATTTGGAGAAAGCCATTCTGTCCGGAAACATGGCATCAAGCTGCTCCTTGGAATGCCCCATTCTCAGCCGACTCCTCAGCCTAGCCGCATTCAAGATGTTGTATCGATCGGCGGGAGGCAAACTTTGAAAGAAGGGGCCGTCAAAGTCGATCTTGGAGAAGTCGTAGACGTTGATGTCTTCGCCACGATCAAAATGGCGTGCGTATTCCTCCAGCTCCTCCAAGGACATGACCCGAGGATCGTTCGCTGCGCCCATTTCCGACATGGACCTTCCCAGATCAGGCAGATGGTATTGGTCTTTCCTCTTGAATGTGGTCGCGCGCTTCTCCACACGCTCTTCCTTTGTTTGCAGCAATTCCTCAGCGTATACCAAGTCGTCCGGGATCTCCTCTTCTTGGGCTTGATGCTGTGGTTCCCCATCCCGTGAGCGCTTCGCCGCCTCCTTCCGTTTCTTCTCCTCCTCCTCGGCCACACGCTGCATCTGAATCGCCAACAACTTCCCCGCTGTCCTAACTGCATCCTCGCGCCTACCCTCGCGCCTCGACTTGCGATGTTGGATCGTCTGTCGCTTCAGCGCCGGAGCGCCACCGTCGAATACAAAGACAGGCTTGATGCCGATGAAGAGGAGCTTGCATATTCGGCGGAAGAAGCCAACGATATGGCTGTTTCGCAGCGCATTGCCTTCCTTGTCGCGCACGGCCTTGAGGAACTGGTAGATCCAGATGGAAGCATCCACAGCAAGCCGCTTCTTGTTCAGCGTTTCGATCTTGATGGGGCGCGCGCAAGGCTGCAGGACGGTCCAGAGGCCGGTGACACCCATAGCCGCCGTCCAGGGGCGAGGTCCATCAAGTAGGTAAAGGCGGGTGGGCGGCCTGGTCGATGAATTTCAAACCGGACGCTTGCTGCCTTGGGGATCGTGATCTCGCGTGCCAGACGCGTCAGGTAGTGATGTCACGCCAAGCCCCCTTTGGTCTCCATTCCCATAAAGACGCGTCTGGTGCCTTGGGCCAGTGACCACAGTCTAATCAGTATGGATGATTATGCATTTCCAGGTACTTGAACTGACTTCTGAGGGCTACTGATCTGATACAACTACAAAAAACACCCTACATTCTCCTTAATCTTCTCATCACTTACACACAAGCAGCATTTAATAGCCGCAGATGACCTTGCTATGACCCTTGGATGCCCAGTCCCGCAGCAAGTTCTTCTCCCTCTTCAACATCCTGCTCGTCGTCGCCAAAATCTCCTACTTCACCATACTCTCCTTGTTGTTCTGCATCACCAAGCATCCCGTCTCTCTGCTGTCGAAATCGTCGTGAGGAGCTCGATGGTCTGGCATCATCTGGATCTGAATCTTCAGACTCGTCATCGTCGTCCATGACGGCTGTGCTTGGCTTCCTACCACTGGGAAGTAGATCATTCAATTCCTTTGGTGGGCGAAGTTCGAACATGGAACTCGGACGATCGAATCCAGACGCTATACCACGGGTACGTGACCGCGTCCGCGGAGAGGTAAGGGCCGAGTTCAGCGCGGTATTAGGTGCCGTTGCTTGCGGTGACATGGCTTGTGACCACCATCCACTGAGTCGTTTGGACAACGAGGGGCTGTCCGGTGGTGTTTCAGCCGCATCTTCATGGTTGGCTTCCATATTCGAAGCACCCTTCCTCTTCTTCTTACGAGCAAAATTAAACCCCATGGGTAATTTTACGGGCATACCAGTAGGTGAGAATGCCGCCGAAGACGACGAGTCTGAACCAGAGAGTGGATATGCAGCACTACCGTCACCACTTTTGGTGCGCTTCAGTAGATTCTGTAGATCGTCTTCGGACAGCTCATTAATCACGTCTCCGTCACGCACACCTCGAGTTCGATATTGGCGACGACCCTGATGAATAATATTTTCCAACTTTGCACGATTGGCAATGAATTTCAGTTTTGGAAACACAGATTGTTGGCCCACATGGATCATGCGTGCGAGGCGTTGAGGCGTGGGGTCAGATAAGATGAATATGAAATCCGAGGGTATTGACTTTGGCCAGATGGTAATGGTGCCGCTAAAGCGTTGGAGCCAAAGTTCACTCCAGTCCTGGCCCAAGGGACGAGGTAGTAACTCCAGATGGCGGAGCACCTTGAGCCATTTTTGCAGGTCAAGCTTGATATATTGTTCAAGAGCAGAGCCCAGGAAGCCGCCGCGCCAACCACGGCCGCGGCGGTGGGTAACGGGGCGGCCGACGGAGCCGCGAGAGGAGAAGAAGAAAATGTTGATATGAGGGTTGACCTGGCTCACGATGGAAAAGCGGACGTTGAAGTGCAGATTGAGCGCCTTGAGGGGAATGTCGGTACGCAAACTTCCGTCCTTCCATTTGTGGCCAAATGAGTAGGGGGATAATGTACCGTCTTTGTTCTTCTTCATGAGAACAACCGGGTTTAGGATTCCAGGTACTGCTGCCGATGCTAGCACCGAGCTCCAAATGACGCAGTCGGGCGCTGTGATGTAGTTGGCGAGAATTGTGGGCGAGTGGGGGTCGGCTGGAACGCAGGAGACATTGAGTATTCGGCCTGTTCGCTCATAGGCCTCCTTGAAAGTCAGACTCCCGTACGTGAAGAAGGCGAGTCTTCTAGCCCAATCAAGCGCATCAAAACGCGCCCCCGTCCTGAGCCATCTCTTGATCCAGGTTGCAAAACTGTCATGACAGGCTGTGATGCGATGAGCAAGTGCAGGAACAAGAAGCTTCTTGAGTTCCTCGTCTGTCCGTGTGCACAAGAGTGCGGCTACGAGTGCACCTCCCGATGTTCCTGTGATGACTTCAGGAAGTAGTCCAGCGTCCAGGAGAGCTTTTGCAACACCGAAGTGGTAGTATGCAAATGTCGCGCCTCCTGATAAACATAGCGCGGTGCGACCGAAGTTGTTACCCAAGTGCTTAAACATGGCACGTTTGGTTTCTACGTCCAGCTGCGTGGTCCTCAGAAGAAAGGAAAGCGAAGCCTCGGCTTCATCGACAAAACTCTGGACAAGATTTTTTGTTCCGTAGTATGTCTCGCTGTACAGTCTTGGATTCTCGAACCCGGCAAAGTTGTTCTTTATACAGGCCTCGACGAGGGCCCTCAAATCTTCGACGGCCCTGGGCTCGGATGGTTTGTCGGTTGCACGCCCGTCGCCCGCTTCGTCTGCCTCGGCCTTTTGCCGCAGGCTGGCCAATTGTGCATAGACCTTCTTCACGGTCTTGCTGTCGTAGTAGCTGTACTCTGCCTTCTCCTTCCATGAGTCGTTCCCCAGATGTGAATCCAGCTCCTTGGCCTCTCGCACCCACTCCTCGTATGATTGTGCGTCTTGCAATTTTGTCCGAAGTTTTTGCCTCGTGCCCCTCCATGTGATCCAATGTTCGTACATGTACACATAGAAGCGCGTGAGGACATAGGCGATGCTCAGAAACAGCAGCCATCCCAGCACGACGAGGAGGAGGGGCCACTTGAGCAGGACATAGACAAACCCCTCTCGTGTCTCATCGCGCCCTCGGCGCGGAGCAGCCTTGCTCTTCTTCCGCCGCCGCACACGTTGGTGGATGGGTCGCCAGTCACTCAGGGCTGTGATGAAGGTTCGCGACTCGGGCTTTTGCGGGGCGCTGAGGTCCTCTGCGGAAGGCGAGTTCAGATCAGGTGTGTGCAGGGCCTTGTCGAACTCGGCAAAATGGTCTTCGTTGATGAAGTCGTTGTCGAAGTCGGGCAACAGGGTGAAGTCGAAGCCGGCCGACGAGTCTGGCGCAGGGCCATCGGTCTCTTTGCTGACATCAGCCATGGTGAGGATATGTAGGGGGCGCGCAAGACATGATCATATGTGCTTGTGCGAGGTTGAGTGGTAGGTTCCAAGGGGCGGAGGGTGATAGTGACTGGTGGCGTGAAGAGGTATGTACTCCCACCCAGGTACTCGCATGTGATATGTGATGGTGCAGTTGGGGAGTTCCAGTGCCCGGTGCCCCTACGTCACCCCCTGCCGATCTTTGGTGGAGCCGCACATCGCACGATCACCACACTCCAGATTGCCAGGTTCGGGGAGGTCACGGGAAGACGCTTTCACCTCGCGTACCGTACAAGGTATGATATAAGCCATCCGTCGTCCCATGTCGCGTCGCCTCGAGCTGCTCACCCGAAGCTTGGGCAACTCTGGTAGCAGAGGCATGCCCATTCGACTGCCTCGTCCACACATCAGCTGTCGTCTTCGATTGTCGTCTCAGTCATCCTCACCCTCATCCTCATCCTCGCAATGGAGGCCGCAACGCCAGCTGATGACGCTTGCCATCGAGACTTCTTGCGATGACACTTCTGTTGCCATTGTGGAAAAGGACAGCCAGTACGGCCGGACCGTGGCACAAATACATTTCCACAAAAAAGTGACTTCGAACAATTCCGACTATCAAGGAGTTCATCCCCTCATCTCTCTGCAATCCCACCAGCAGAATCTGGCAACCCTTGTAAGCGAGGCCATTGAATGTCTCCCTCTGCAATGTGATGGAAGTGCTTCAGCAGCCACTGGTGTGGGCTCCAAAAGGCTTCCAGACTTCATCTCCGTCACGCGAGGCCCAGGAATGCGAAGTAATCTGTTCACTGGGCTTGACACAGCCAAAGGCCTTGCCGTAGCATGGCAGGTACTTCACATGACTTCACTGTCAAAGTGCTCGGCTGACCAAATCACCAGAAACCTCTCGTGGGAGTGCACCATATGCAAGCCCACGCTCTAACATCACGACTGGTGACCGCCTTGAATGCCTATCGGGACCTCAGCGTCCAAAGAGAGACTGCTCCAGATGTCATCAGTGCAGCGACTTGTGATCCGTCCTTCCCGTTCCTATCGATCCTTGCCAGTGGCGGCCACACATTGCTTATACATTCTGCGTCTCTGACAGATCATCGTATCATGGGTAGCACTCAGGACATTGCTATTGGCGAGTGTCTCGACAAGATCGCCCGTGTCGCTCTACCCGCAGAATGGTTACAGACCACAAAAAGCACAATGTATGGAGCTTTACTTGAAGCATTCGCCTTTCCTCCAAGTCAATCTGCAGAAAGTGTCGGACACAGTGGGAATGAGCAGGGCCATGAAAGGCCACTGTCAGCAACCGTTGTCTACACAGCCAGATCTCATCTAGACGAAAACTGCGAAGAATACGACTGGTCGTTCATGAATCATGAAGAAGCTGTCAAGAAGAACGCAACTGCATGGGGATGGGCCATCAATCAGCCGCTGACCAAATCTGGCGGGGGAAACAAGATCAATAGCCTCGAGATGAGCTTCTCTGGACTCATGACAGCAGTTGAGCGCATTGTTCGCTATGGAATGGACCCTGCCACTAGGAAGCTAAAACTAACAGAACGGGCAGCTGATGATATTACCCTGCAAGAACGGCAAGATATAGCTCGAGAAACTATGCGTGCCGCTTTCGAGCATGTCGCCTCTCGGGTAGTCTTGGGCTTGCAGTCCCTAAAAGACTGCTCGTCAAGTCATCCAGCAGTAGTCATGGCTGGTGGAGTCGCGGCAAACTCGTTCCTTCGACACATGTACGGGGGCTCGGTTATTGTATAAACTGACTACGCTGACCAGATCTAGACTTGCGAGTACGCTATGCGCAAATGGCTATTCCAACGTCGAGTTGCATTTCCCACCGCCCTATCTCTGTACTGACAATGCAGCAATGATCGGATGGGCCGGTCTTGAGATGTTCGACGCTGGCCACACCGACCCTTTGAGTATTCGAGCAATTCGAAAGTGGCCACTTGACAAACTTCTAGATCCTGTTGAAGATGGGTAGTGTCCCAGCTTCACTACACAGCTAAGGCTTTCTACTGTATCCTAAGAGCATGGATTACAGGCTTCTGCATAATCAGGGTCGTTTCCGCCTGTCCAATTCCGGGAGCAGTAAGGGTCTCCTGCCCATAGCGTCACCCGTCGCATTCGATATAGTCGTGCTGTGCCCACAATTAGGAACGTCAACTATCGACCTCAGACGGACTTATTCCGGCTTGGACTATGCTTTAGCCACGCGAATATATCTCGCTTCGCGCTCCACGCTCACTTCTCACTGCGCAGAGTGGAAATGGCATGGATATGACCTTAGCGAAGCAAGGAGGCGCTAAGGGATGACAACTTCACCCGCATCTAGACCACTCCGACCCCAGATTTAGGGAGTCGCAAAGATACGATAGTACGAACTTGAAGTTTTTCACGGCTGAAGTGCCTGTACAACCCTGGTCGAATACGCAAGAGCCCTCGGCCACTGTACCGAATACGATGCCTGTATGAATGTCGCCAGATCGAAAGCAGTCCTGTCAAAATAACCAGCAATATATCCATAGAGCGTTGTGCTTTATTTCAGCCGAGCGCCCCAGGTATTTTGCCGAATCACCATCGCCTACTACATTTCGTTCACATTGACTTTGCTATTATTGGAAAAATTCGAAATCAGGCCACAGCTGTACCAGATTATCATCAGCGTGGAGTGTTTACGGCCTACACAAAGCGACCCAAAGCCCCAAAGACAGCCGCCAAGCATCGCTAACGCAGCATGTTCTGCAATGCACACGTGCAAGAGACAATATATTGCAGCATGATACTGTACGATCTCGTATTTCCCATTAACGTAGAATATTGGCGCCTGGAAAGTCAGGTCTATCAACTCTGGGGCTGGACTGCATGACAGTGACTATAACTTCAACAACATGCTCACTTGCTGGCGTCAGAGTGCAAGAACTAATCCAGTCTCACATCCAACGATCTAAAATCGGCTGCCTTGCTTGCTGATCATGGCGCTTGCACGTAATAGCGTGCTTGCATTGCTCACCTTTGCTATCAGGTTCGTAAAGCCTTCTCATCTGCTACAAAAGGTTTTGGTTGACATCTCATAGTATTCATGCGGCGCCCACAGGCTTGAACGAACGCCAACTTGGCATTATCCTCCCACCCAAGCAGAGTATCTCTTGGGAGAACAGCAACCCCGAGCCTACTGAGGAATCAGAAGATCTGGACTACCCATCCAAACCAACTAACCAGATAAGTCTTGGACAGCCAACAGGATGGCTAAGCTGGGAAACCACTGCTCCCGCCCCCACAGATGCTCCAGAAGAACCTGATTCTCCACTACCGAAGCCAACTGATCAGATCAGTTTGGGTAAGCCTTCTTTCTGGGTGAGTTGGGATACACCAATACCGGGGCCAACAGATACACCTGAAGAGCCTGGCCATCCACCACCGCCCAAGCCGAGTGATCAGATCAGCCTTGGTCCTCCTTCTGGATGGATCAGCTGGGATAGTCCGACGGCGACGCTCGAGCCGACTCCTACTCCCGACAAACCAACGCCGACTCTAACTTCTGAATACTCTTCAATATTCACAACGCCGATCGAGGACAGTTCGACTACAGTATTGACTCCCTCAAGCTTTGTTAGCAAGTCTTGTCAATCTGAGGCGACGACGTCAGCAGTATCTTCCAGCAAGACGCCAACTCCAACACCAGCACCTACCACTACAAAGAGCGCCTTCATCACCCTTGCACCGCCAAATTTCAGTATCACATGGGGACTCCAGGCCAGGGACGCTGCTGATCTCAAGCCCACTTCCACCAAGAAGACGACGGTTAAGCCCTCAACCACGAAGAAGACGACAACAACCCAAAAGACCAGTACGAAGAAGACTACATCGAAGACGAGTTCGACAAAGAAGTCTACCTCATCAACAAAGAAGACAAGTTCGACGGTTACCACCAAAAGGTCTTCCACATCCTCAACACCAAAGCCCACGCCCACACCAACGCCGGCGCCATCGCCAACACCGGAGCCCACTCCTACTCCCGCTCCTACTTCCGCAGTCATACCAACATCCAAGCCTGGCCCCATTATAATTACCCCAACTTACATCATCATCCCCACGCCAGGCCCGGATCCCGACTTCCCAGACGACCCGGACTTCCCAGATGACCCCGATTTCCCAGGTGACCCAGAATTCCCTGGTGACCCCGACTTCCCAGGCGACCCAGAGGACCCCGAATTCCCCGAACCGACCCAAGCCCCACCCAAAGATGAAATCACCCTCGGCCCCCCAACCGCAACCGTGATCTGGGGAAAACGCAAAGAGCCATCTGACACGGCGCCTACGCGTCTTCCTGTTTACCCTGCTCTTGAAGACTCTGACCTTGGTGATGGCGATGATTATAATCCTGCCTTCCCTCTTCCCCCTTATATGCCCAACCCGCCTGATACCATTGGTATCCAACCCCCCACTGCAACATTGATTTGGGGCCGCGAGGCTCAGCGTAAGTAGGAACCACGCTGGTGGTCGAGGTGTGCTGGTTGTGATGCGGAGTTGGGGGTTGGGGGAGGAGGAGAAGAGGGGGAGGCCTGAGGGGCAGGTATAAGAAGGACAGCGATGGTGGAAGGTATCTAGTCGCAGCTTTTTCGATTGTTGAGGTGTTGCGTTTAGGAGAGGGGATTAGTCCGTCGGGTTTCAAGATTTGTGTATGCTGGGTTGTTAGGTGGATGTCGATGTGGAGGGGTTTGTTATGTGTTGTTTGAATGTTAGGGGGATTTGGGACTTTTGAAGTTTCAGATTTAGATTTGAATAATTGAATTTTGACGTCGAAGATGAAAACTCGCATTGGCCATCATATACACTCGTCTCCTCCACCTGGATATTACAATCACCCACTCCATCCGCAAAATCACCAGGCTTTTTTTTAGCATCACTATGTAAACCTCATTACCACTGCTATTACCACTACAACCAAACCCCCACTCCCTCGAATCCCTAATCCAACACCCCGCCGAACAAGAAGAAAAACCGCTACCAAACAAGCCCCTCAAACCCCTTCAGAGCAATATTAGCATAGAGATTGCAATACGTACCGAGCATGACCAAGGCCGCCATGTCGTATCCCAAAAGTGTGTGTTTACGTTGTAGAAGACGTGTTTCGCGATTGTAACTTGCGTGGTTTTTTCTTGGGTTTGGGGTTGGGGTCTGTGGGTTGTTGTTGCTGTTGCTGTTCTTCCTTGTTGTTTGAATGTTGTGTGGGCGATGGTTGGGATGGAGACATCTCCTCGTCTCCATTATCTTTGTCTTGCATTACCGGCGCTACGTCTTCTTGTTTCCCGGCTTTCGGCTTTTGTTCATTGATTGTATTCTCCTCCTTCTCCTTCAACTTCTCCTGCACACCCCCCTTCCTCTGTACTTTCCCCCCCTCACCCCTTGCAGCCCCACCCTTCGTCACTGACGCCGCCAAATCCTCCCCGTCGGCTACATCCTCGACCATGAAATTCGCCGCCATACATCTCCCGCCATTCTGCTGGCCGACCTCCATCGGACACGCACTCAGCACGACCACGACATCTCTCTCAGCCCGGAACCTCACAAACGATCTCTTCTTTCCCACGGGCTCCTCCACGCTCAGGGTAATTCCCAGGGCGCCTGCGCCTTTTGGATCCGCATGTTCGAAATGCAACGGCGCGTTCATAAACAGGTGAAGAGGCGTCGGCGCGATATTCACACTGATATCCGCACCAATCGCTTTGGCGCCCTTGAGGCCCGCCGTCTGGTTCAATTCCTTGAGCGCGAGGACCAGGTTCTCGGCGCAGGAGCCATGTTCTTCAGGTTTGTCAACGCCGAGGGCTAGGTACTGGTTTGCGTCGCAGGCAGCGGTGAGGGTGTCGTGTGCGCCGGGAGAGGTGTCTTCGATGAGCGAGACGATGGGATTGCGGAGATTGGTGAGGAGTTGGTCATTTACTTCTGGGACTAGTTTGTGGGAGGAGGCGCGAGTGTGGGGGAGAGAAAGGTATTCCATGGGGGGTTGGGAGGAGGAGGATGGGTGTGTGGAGGCATAGGCTGAGTAGGCGGCGTAGACGGAGGAGGCGTAGCCTGAGCCTGTTGCCGCTATGGAATGTTAGTCGGATCGATTCAACGTTGATGACGAAACATCTTGTATTACTAACCAGCGATTGTGCCAGCACCGACGGGAGTTTTGGAGAAATCGTAGAGTTGCTCGGCATAACTTTTGTTCGGATCACGGTAATGACTTGCCTTGAAGGCGCTCACTGCTTCCTTGGAGTCTGGGAGTTGTACGTTGGGAACATAGCTTGAGAAGCTCTTGCCAGTGGGAATGTAGGAAGACCACTTCTTGGTGTTGGCTTCGTTCTGTGCCTTTTGTTCTTCTGCATCCGGCTTTTTCTCGTTGCCAAGCTTGCTCGTGGTACCTTTGTTACGATATGGGATAGAAGGAAGGTATGATGCCCACGATCGCTTTGGGACTTCCTTGGAGGAAGCATCTCCGTTCTCGGTAGACGTATTATTCTTTTGGGCGGTGGGCGCCTCCTCGATTTGATGTCCGTCGTCTGGAGTACCCTTGGCGTCTTTAGTCACAGACTTAGATTCTTTGCTCTCCTCCCCATCCTCAGTATTATCGTCAACCACTTCGCTATTGTTTCCTTCTTCTTTCATAACAGTCGCCATATTCTCCCCAGCCCCAGCCCCAGCCTCAACGGCCTTCTTCAAACCCTCAGTTTCCTCTTGCACTTTTTGCTCGTTAATTGCCTCCTCTTCTTCATCTTTGTCAGGTGGTGGACCCAGGCTAAACGCCCACATGCTAACTACCTGCTTGCCATAGGTGTTGATCACCTTGATTGTCCTGCCTCGTGGCACAAACGTCGCGACGCCATGGCGCGCAGGTATCGTCTGTAACTCTCCCGACATATCTTCAACCGGAGGTTCCACTGCTTTCGCGTCGTCTCTGTTCACCCTGTCCTTCCGACTTTTCTCAACAGCAGACAGTACAGAGACAACCGCAAAGCCAGCGAGCGCACGACGAGAGGGTATTTGCGGCGCCGTTTTGACGTATTATTCACGTTGATCAGAAAGCAAGGCGAAATTTATTTAGATGGCTGTTGGAAGACTGTATGATTGTATCGCGATTCTATGTGCTCGCAATTTTCGAGAACGGGATGTGGAAAGAAAAGGCAAGAAACAGAGTCGAGGCTGTCCGCCATACATGTCCACAAGTGACGTATAGGGCTGAATCACCATCATCGCGGCTGCCATGTTTGATGCTCTCCAACGGTATCGAGGAAACATGGAACCCCCTTGTATAACATCCCGGGTGCTCATCTTGCTGTGATTGAAATGACGGAAAGCGTCATGACGTTGTGTTGAAGAATCTTGTTTTGAGAGGAGATGCGAGCTAGGTACGGGTACCGATAAGTTGTGCGGGTGCACATTCCCTCGGTTACACTTGCCAAACAGCACACCTACTTTCAGACAGCTATTCCAATACTTTTGTAAAAGATACAGTCCTGGAGCTGTGTTGATGAAATGTATATAAAATAAGGGGACATGGGCAGGAACAAAAAATTGTAGTCAATCAAATCCATGACTAGGTCATAGTATATGAAAAACCTCATACAGAACGATCACCTCCTTGGATTCCTGGGGTAGGGCAGAGGGGTTGAACCAAATATGTTGAAAACTCATTTATTAGATCCTGTATCAATAGTCTCTGGATGGGATTTACATGAATACATGCCGTCCCCCGACCACGACTGTGAGCTTCTATACGTGCGTACATGTTAGGGCAGAGACGATAGCTTCACCTTCGCGATTTCTCCATAGACCCACTTGATCTAGGAATATCCATCACCACTATAACCCATCCAAATAGAACTCCCAGCTCACTGCTTGGTGGAAACGAGAGCTTCGCGCTCAATTTGACGATACAGGACGGGCCCCCCTGCTGGCAATACTGGTGTAGTTCAGCGCGGTGTATCCGCAGGGGAGGTTGCAAAGCTGAAGTACCGGTATCGTTCATACATTGGCCTCTATCTCCCACCACTATTTTGAACAATCCATAGAATTATATTCAAGGAGGAACCGTAACATAAGCTGTCATAGCTTTCACCGCATCGCCGTCATTGGCGCGCAACAGCTCTGTCGCTTTCTGCTTCGACAACTCAAGTTCAGAGACCTGCTTGGAATTAGTATCTTTTGTTTTGTGAGAAAGTTCGAGCCTTCTGTGACGTACCAAAAGTGTGACATCTGAAGCTTCTATCTTGACATTCTTCTTCTTTTCCTCACCCTTGCCGCCTTTGACACTGAGTCCCTTCATCGCCTGGTCAAGGGCATTGCCATCAACCTCCTTTTTCACTCCTGTATCATCCTGTGCATCGAGTGTGGACAGTGCAGCGGCAGCTTTGCGATCGTCGGCTGTACCCGTTGGTGCGTGGGGTTCTGCGGCACCCTCGTGAACGCCTTCAGGCTGTGGTTCGGCCATTGGCTCTGGAGAGGAGGGCTGAGATATCTCAAACCGTTAAAGAGGAAGATGTCTGCGAGCGGAGGCTTGAGGGAACCATGTATGTAATTGTGAAAGGGTGGGTGAAGGAGTGTTAGTGGGGTAGGGTATGATGATGGGAGTTAGAGATGGCCAGCCAATAGGAAAAAAGAATCGCCGTGATTCGTTGAATTTGTGATTTTTACGGCGAATCAACCTTCCTGTTGCCCACGACCCTACCTAATAACGAGGATACTACACACGTGAATAGATCGTGGTTTCGTAAAGCATCATTATTTCTAAAAGGAGATAAAAAGACACAGTATCTGGTAAGTACTTTTCTGCTCCTCAAACTCCTGGCGTCTGCGTCAAACTTTGTAAACTTCCACGTCTTGATTCCTGAGTCATGTCACATGTGAACACGCCCTTTATTCACGCCGCATTTCAGCGTAGCGGGACCCTTGCCGTCGATCCAAATTGACCTAATTGTCCCAGTGACTCAACTTTTACCAGGAAATAGATCTACAATATACATTCGTCCCACCCTCATCCAGCTCTCTCTCACCGCCCCATGGACAAGGAGGGGCAAGAAAAATTGGAAAACTACCTGAAACAGTTCCTGTCAGGTGATAAACCAAAGACACAGTCGGTGGAACAGACACAACCTTCTTTGAGCGAACCTTCGACGCGTGTAGCACATCGAATGGAGCAGACCCAGCATGCACAGAATGCGCAGAGCGCGGAACCATCTGACGGATGGACACCGTCATGTCAGTCGCACATACGCCTTTGCATGCCCATTCAAGTCCTGACTGTTTCCTAGCCTGGCGATCCAAACCTATCAAACAGGTCGTTACCTACGAGGACCAAGCAGCTGTGAGCACTTCATTGACAAAACTATCAAGCCTGCCACCAATCGTAACACCTACGGAGATTACCAGACTGAAGTCTAGTCTGAGAGATGCGGCGCTGGGCGAAGCTTTCTTGTTGCAAGGAGGTGACTGCGCCGAGCTGTTCTCCTACTGCGCGGACAATCCAATCGACGCCAAGATCAAGCTTCTGTTGCAGATGAGTTTGGTTCTGATTTGGGGTTCCAACAAGCCTGTGATCCGCATCGGTCGGATAGCGGGGCAGTATGCAAAGCCAAGATCCAGTCCGACGGAGATGCTCAATGGCAAAGAGATCCCAAGCTTTAGAGGGGATATTCTCAATGGATATGACCCCGAATCCAGGAGAGTGGACCCAGAGAGACTTGTTAGCGCATACTTCCACTCTGCCACGACGCTGAATTACATTCGTGGCCAGCTCGCAAGCGGTATCGCTGATTTACACAATCCTCTAGACTGGGAGCTTGGGCACGTCCGAGACGAAGAGTTGCAGGCAAAGTACACCCAAATTGTTCAAAGTATCTCCGACTCCCTCCGTTTTATGAAGACGATTGGTGCAGATACATCAGGCCAATTACAGACTGTCGATCTCTACACCAGTCACGAAGGTCTTGTACTAGAGTACGAGCAGAGCCTGACGAGGAAACTGAAGCACCCAGCGGGCTACAAGCCCTCACGACCATCGGAGGATGGGAAGGGCTGGTACAACACCTCTGCACACTTCATCTGGATTGGCGACCGCACTCGCCAGATTGACGGAGGCCATGTGGAGTACTTCCGTGGAATCGAGAACCCAATCGGTATCAAGGTTGGACCGTCGATGAAGAATGACGAACTGGTGGAGCTTCTTGATATTGTGAATCCCAACAAGGAGATTGGCAAGATCACTCTTATCACACGCTACGGCGCAGACAAGGTCGAGTCGATGCTTGGTGCACACATTGAAGCAGTCAAGAGCAGCGGACATGTTGTCGTCTGGCAGTGCGATCCTATGCATGGGTAAGCCGTCTGCACCCAGCCCATTGTCGATATGCAAGCTAATCTCTCAACAGAAACACTCGCAGCACGCCAACGGGTATCAAGACCCGTTCTTTCAACAGCATCTTTGCCGAGCTTTCATCAGCCCTCAAAATTCACAAGCAGCATGGCTCTTTCCTGGGTGGCATGCATCTTGAGCTTACTGGTGATGCGGTCACAGAATGTACTGGTGGCAGTGAAGGCCTTGTTGATGCGGATCTCAGCTTGAATTACACGACATACTGCGATCCCAGACTGAATGAGAAGCAAGCGTTGGAATTGGCGTTCCTTGTCGCAGGCCATTATCGTGCAGATGGAGAGCTATAGAGTAGACAACCTCAACACCAGACAAAAGCGTACCAGAATCCACATCAACCCAATCAAACAACCCAAAGCCAAGCCAAAACTCCCCAATTCTACAATATCAAGCACGAAGAAGGAATAGTAAACTTTGCACAAGAAAATCCAACCAGGATTAAAATCCACAACCCTCGCCACTAATGACGACCACATCTCAATCCGTTGGCCCAAGCGCCCCCAGATAAAATCCCTCCCCCCAATGTGCCCCAACTTGACCCATCTTGACGTTATCTGCCTAACCTCCTCGTACATCTCAACAACCCAGCTTTCCTGTACCCCCTCCCCGGCGCGCGCCCCACACAAAACACCTTTTGTTATCCGCGCTGCCCCCCTCCTCAACAATTACAATGGGCGTCTCTGCCTCCAAGACCGCAAAAGCTGCGGGCTCCGCTGCGCGTAAATACCCCACGAGGGCCCCGCCTGGTACGACGACTCGAGCTGCTGCTCCTCCTCCTCCTCCTCCTGCTACTACTACTACTTCTTCGCCGCTGGCTTCGACTATACAGCAGGCACCGAGTCATGCGGCAACGGGACCGATTGTACACACCAGTGTGCCAGCCTTGGAGGTGAAGAATGAAGGTGCGTGACTTTGTTATACTACCTACCTACCTACCTACCTACCTACCTACCTACCTACCTACCTACCATCCCACCCCCCACAAACAAACATAGCAACTACAGAACCAACCCCAACTAACATGGATCCACCCCCCAGCAATCACACAAGACGCGCGCGACCCCGGTCTCGCCGCCCGCCTCACCAGCCTCGGCCCCGTGCAACCCAACCCCCACTTCTCACCCACGTCGACCTCGCAATTCGACCCGCGCCGCAACACGGCGCCACAATTACCATCGGACACGATGATGCAGGCGCCGCCGCCGAGTGCATTTCCGGATGCGCGGAACAATCCGGTGTTGCGGGTGTTGGAGGCGCGGCGGCGGATTGCAGACGAGGCCGAGGAGGAGCTGGGGAATGTGGGGAGGCGGAGTTTCAAGGGCCGGGTGTATTTGGATGCTGGGTTGGTGCAGTTGGCGTTGATGAGGAGGGCCAAAGGCGAGCCTGAGGCGAGGATTGAGGAGGCGTTGGGGATTAGGAAGGGTAGGCTGGGGGTGTTGAGTCGGGGGGTGTTTGCCCCTGTGCATGAGTGATGTGGATGTTGGGATGCAGACGGGATAAGAAGGGCGCAAGGTGCACGTCGAGTCACACGACATCATACCATGCAGTATACGACGACGACGTTGGTCAATCAAGCATCGATATGCTAATATACTAAACGGCCATCGCATTGTCGATCCAGCAACGCGCGCACGAACATACGTACATGCAAAGGACGGAAACCCAAAAAGAACATGCCAGGAAGAAGAAAGAAGTCGTCATGATCCCCAACCCAAATCAATGCGATGCGAACAAGGAGAAGAAGATGGAAAAGAAAGGTACTGTCTGGGCAGTTCATCACCATCGGTACGCCGACCGGTTCACGCAGCAACGCCAAATGAATGCAAACAACAAAGGGAAAGCCGAAAGCGGGAGGAAGAGCGAGCAGCGACCTAGGCACCGTCATACTCTGTATACTCGTGTATGAAGTTGTTGAGGGCCTCGAGGGCGCCTCTCATCTGGGCCTGGCTAATCTCCAAGCCGCCGCGGGCCTCGTCATTGTAGCCGATTCTGATTTTGCCATTGGCTTGCTGTTGTTTGTGGGGCGACCAGCGCCTAGCGATTTCCCAGCGCTTCTTGGTCTTTTGGAAGGTTGGGCAGGTGGGGGAGACGTCTTTGAGGGCGCGGAGGGCGTTGAGGGCGTTGAGGATGTTGAGGAAGATGCTGTGAGGAGGGCGGGGGTGTTAGTCTTGGTTGTGATGCCGCTTTTCAGTCACGTGGGGAGGGGAGAAGGGATGAGAGGATGAGAGCAAGACGGGAGAGGGGAGACATTTAGAGTACCTCTGTGTAAGCTTCACATCATGATCCCATCGATACGCCACTTCGCAAAACGGATTTCCTTGGGCCACGACATCCAAGAAGACAAACAGACTCTCCTCGACACTAATGTCCGCGCTCACCTGACTCTGCACATTGGCCAGAATCCAATCCGCCAGCTCGAAAAAGGTGGTCTGGTTGAAATGGCAAAAGTCGAGGAAGCGGTCGGGGACGGTGAAGAGGAGCTGCATGGCGCGTCGCTTGCCCAGGGCTTCGATGCAGCCGCCCAGTTCCTGGAGATGGGAGTCTTCGTCGTCGTCGATGTCGTCGTCATTGTGGGCGTGGTGGGCATGGTGGTGGTGTTGGTGGTCATTGTGGATGGGATGCCCATTCTCAGACGGGGGCGTCGTGGACGTCGAGGTGGAATCGAGATCCGACGAGGTCAGATGCGAGGTCCACGACGTCCACGACGTAGCCGGCAGCACCTCGGTTTCAGAGGAGATGTCGCGCGTGTGCGAGTATGCGTTTGGCCGTCTGACCATGATGACTGTGTATGTTGTATCGTTTATAGCGAGGGAGTTTCTCCGGTGGGAATCGAGATGGTTTGTCGTGTGGTTGTGGTTGTGGTTGTGGTTGTGGAGGTGGAGGTGGAGGTGGATGTCGTAAGTAGTAGTGTCAAAATCTCCCTTGTCCCCCCCCCTCTCTCGTACCAACCAAGCCAGCTACCGGTACCTAAACCACGCTATGGGTATTTCTGCCTCCCCCCCTTGTCACAACCAAGCTTCGACTATAGTAGGTACCGTATTCACTGTCCCGTACTCTTTGTAGTAGCCACCAAGCCCGTACCGCAAAAACCAAACCCTCGAACCCCCAAAACGCAGCCTCTCTTCCCTTGGGAAAAATCCCCCCCTACTCCCGCTCCCAAACCACAGCCGTCCGTATCCGACCTCGCCAACCAGCCCCCAAAAATAAAAAAGTACAAAACAGGGTTGCGAAGGTGGGAAATCAAGACGAAAAAACCTAGCCAGCCACAGACACTGCACTCCTTCTGCAAGACAGAGAAGAGCGGATGAGGGCAGAGGAAAAGCGTGGCGGAAATTGAAATGACGAGGAGAGGAAAAGGTCGGGTCAGGCTCAGGTGGGGCCGGCCGTGGATGCTGGTACTACTCTACTAGAGTACTCCTAGTACTCGTACTCCTCCTACTCTGCTCCTCCTGCTCCTAGCCTTTGTGCAGACGCAAGCAAACTAAAACTTGCAAGCACGATTTGACATGTGAAAGTGCGCCGGGGGGGGGGGGCCATCCTCTTGGGACATCGAAGTTGCGTTGCGCACCTGCCACACGCCCCTGCTCGAATCACTCTCAATTTGGGGGGGACTGGGTCCTGGCCTGGGGTTTTGTTAAAAAACCAGGGGAAGGGGGGAAG